AGGTGCAGGACAAGACTCTTGTGTTGGGAGCTTTGGTGAGAGAAGCCCTGGCCCAGCCTGGGGAGGTCGGGGAGATGTCCTTGAGGCCTCTAGCTGAGGAACAGGTGTGTGTGTTGGTCCCCAGAGCTGCCAGGCAGAGGGAACAGCATGTGTGAAGGCTCAGAGGCGGGACCCCCTGTGTGCCAGGGGAACTTGGAGTGGTGAGCGTGGCCTGAGTGGTGAGAGGGAGACTGAGGACCGGCCAGGTCTCCTGAGCTGATCTAAGGAGCCAGGCCTTTCTCCAAGGGCAGCCGGATGCCCCTTGGTCAGAAGTAGGTGTTAGGACATTTGTTCTGGAGGCTGGTGTGGCGCAGGCTGTGGCGATGCAGCAGGAGGAGGCCAGACCACGTTGTGGGGCCATCGGAGAGCAGTGGGGCCCGGAGCTGAACTCCTCCTGTATGAGCTGTCCAGACAGTCGGCGCCTAATAGCTACCTGGTGCCTTCATTCCTCTTTGAGAGCCCTGGTCTGTTGGGACTCATGGCACCTGAGGGCCAACAAATAAATGCCTTTGAGGGGATATGGAAAGAGAAACTGTCACGTGACAGAGGACTTTTGAAAATTGAGCCCTAAAGAGGACACATTTTTCAACCCTTTCTATCGGGGCTGACTGGGCCTTTATGGAGGGGCAGGTTCAAAGCTCCCTTTATCTCCTCTGTTAGCCAATGAGGAAGCAGAAGCACAGAGAGGTTAAGAGACCTTTCCAGCGTCCCACAGCTGAACACCATCTGAAACCAAATTTGAACCCTGCTCCTTCGGATCTCAAAGTCCCGGCTTTTCTCCATTGCAGAAGCACACTGGTGGCCAATAAAAGCGGGACCATTGAGCGATGCTTCCTCTGCCTCGGGGCCTTTGCACTTGCGGCCCTCTCTGCCCCAGTTGGTTCTCTTTCCCCAGGCCTGGGCATGCCTGGCATTTGCTTTTGCGGTGACATCACCTCTTCAGACAGGTCTTTCTCGATCACTCAACTTAAGTAACAATCCTCCTTCCCCGATTACTCATCGCTCTGTGTTCTGGGTACGTCTTATCTGAAAGTATCTTTTGTATTTACTTATGTGTTTACTTTATTGCCC